TATGAAAGTGATTATCATTAAGGATAAGGATTGTGATTATAGTTATAGTAAAAATATTAATGATCATGATCACCAGTTGTCATTTGTTGTCATCATTATTTTGATTTTGATTACTCAAAATTTGTGATGAGTATTTATAAAGGAGCCTGTAAATATCTTTTCTTTTACTAATTTGCTATCTTGGTATTTGATTACATATGGGAGTTATCTGAAAATAAAATAATCAAGTGATATGCAAAACTCTCCATCCACATTAAATGGGCACCTTCTCAATTGTGACTTTACTTCACAATGAATATTGTATATATTCAGAATTTTGTCGTCAGTAGCCTACTTATGTAAGCTAATCAGTAGCTCACATTTCTGATGAAGCTACATATTTGAATCTTCATATAAAAAAATAAAAGAATGATTGTGCTATTCTGCACTTCTGTAAGACAACAAAATTAGTTAAGTGATTAAGATAACATTTCCCACAGGTGTGGCTGGGTAATGACAGGCAATTGGTTGACGAGAGAGGAGCCGCATGCCTTGGCAAGAGCAGGATGAACAGCAGAAAAATCCCAAAAACTTACCAGTGTTCGCACTGTTCCTACAGTACTACAAATCGATCTGATATTGTCAAACATTATCGAACCCACACAGGTGTTAAACCATTTGCTTGTCCACATTGTTCTTACCAGACTGGTGATAAGTCAAATTTAATGCAGCATATACGAATACATACTGGTGAAAAACCATTTTCGTGTCCCTACTGTCCATACAGAGCTAATAGGAACAGTAGTATTAAAAATCATTTACGGGTGCACATGTGATTTTTAGAAATTGGGTTTCACTAAGAAGTATATACTTTTATTTGCTTTCATTCATCTGTAAATATATCTGGTCATCCCTTGTAAATGTTTCTATAATCTTAGGAAACTTGAGTAAAATTGAAATATGTGATAGATATAAAGGATATATTATTTTAGCAAAAATATTATTTCAAATAGTATAGTATATCTTGTGATACATAAATGTTGCTCTTTTTTCCTGTCTGTAAGAGATACCTCAATAAACTGATTTTCAAATATCTGCCTCTAAATAACTTGACAGTATACGGTCTCATTTTGCTCATTGTGTGTGAAAATTTCAGGTTTAGTGAGAAGTGTGAGGTGCTGTTGAGAGGACCTTCTGTCACAGATTAGATTAATAATTTGATTTGAATATTTGAAGTATGTTTAAGGAGACTGGAATTTGAGATGTGGTAAGGTGTGAAACTGCCAAAGTACTAAAGAAATATATTAAGAAGAAAAATGACTATCAATAAGATCGTTAATAGACTGAAATATGCATATATATAATTTTACAAACTGAATATTCAAATAGCTACCTTATTGATATTGAGAGTATACAAGCTTTTGTATTTAAGATGAAATTTCAGTTATAAAGGAATATTTGAAATCCAAGAGGTTATATTACGGAGTGATCAAGGTATGAGTTATTACTTTGCTTAGTAAATGTATTTAGTACTAGAATAGAAATATCTTGGCTTGATGTACTCATAACCCTATTGTTGGTTGTATGTATTGAAAAATTATTTTGATATCAAAGATTATGGATATGTTTATCAAGGTACTGATTCTAAAAGAGAAGTTGAAATGCAAAATATCTTCATAATTCCATAAGACTGAGACTGTCTGTGAAGTTATCTGCAGTAAATGCTACACTTGCAATATTCAGCATCCTTTTAAGGTAAAAATGGTTGTGTATAATCATCATGCAAGCATGTGATGAGATCGTTGTAGTCATACCACTGGGAGAAACATTTCAAGATGAACATTTCCCAAGGTATGGCTGGGTAATGACAGTCAAATGGTTGAGGAGAGAAGAGCTGCAAGCATTGAGAGGAACTACATCAACAGCGGAAAGTCATCAGATACATTCCAGTGTCCCCATTGCCCTTATGTCTGTTCTACTCGCTCACACTTTACCAAACATTACCGGACTCACACAGGCGAAAAACCTTTCTCATGCCCATATTGTTCATATCAAGCAAGTGACAAATCAAATTTAACAAAACATATTCGCATACACACAGGAGAAAAACCCTTTTCTTGTCCTCATTGTCCATTTAAATCAAATCGAAATGACAGACTGTTGCATCATATGCGAACTCACTTGTAAAACATAATTTATTTTCATCTCCAAAATCTTGTTTTTTTCACGTTTGCCTATATCTCGTAAAATATTTAAAATAATTTCTAAAGAAAAAATATCAGACTTTCACCACAAAGGAAATCTACTGAATATTCATATATTTATTATCAATTCTAAATCTTAATATTTATTTTAATCTCATTATAAATTTTACAAAAACATCAGTAATTATTTTTTATTTATTATTTTCATTATTATATATATACATTTTATCTATGGCAAGTGTCAAAACATGACACACCATACAGAATGAAAGGTGTTCTTTGGGGTAATAATATACATTTTAAAGCAGTGAATGAAAATATGCTTTAAATAGATATTTTTATCAAGTTTGTTATATATCATATCAATTTGAAGTGTTATTATTTTATGGTGAATAAATTTTATTTTTATTTATTTTTCATTTGTTTAAATTGGCCTTGTATGATTTTGATAACAGGTGAAGTTAATATGAATGAAAATCCATATAGAATGGGGGCAGAGTGCTCTGTTTTAATTCATATAAAAGGAAAACACACAAATGTTTTTTTCTCTTTATTTTATTGGAAAAATGGCTATCTATATGACATAATTACTGTGTACATTATTTTATGATATATATTATATTTATTATATTTTTGTACACACACACACACACAATCACTCACCCACTCACTCACTCACTCACTCTCAGTTGCACTTTGACTCTGACTCTGACATTCTCTCTCCCTCTCCCTCTTATTTCCAATGAGAAATAAATCCGTATGGAGAACAGCAGAGCTTGAGTGATGTTTTTAATTTGCAGTATGAAAATGGGTTTTGCAGTATATTCTCTGTATTATTATTATCCATTAGTAATGCAATTTTTAAAAATTATGCATTGCTCAAATAACTGATGAGAATGACAGCAAGTGAAGCAATTGAATCCTTGGAATTAATCAAAAGATGTAATCAATTATTTATTGCCATTAAAACAACTTTGGTTACTTTTATAACTCAAAAAATCATTATATTATCTGACAATATATTGACATCAGAAATGCTCCTTTGACTGAATGAAAAACCCATCTCCAACAGTATGGCTGAGTAATGACAGTGAAATGGTAAGCCAGAGAGCACCAGCATGCACACTGAGGAACCCTGACAGCAACAGAAAAGCTTTGGAATCCTTTAAATGTATACACTGTTCATATGTCAGTAGAAATCGAGCCCATTTCACAAGACATTTCCGGATTCACACTGGGGAAAAGCCATTTTCTTGTCCTTATTGTTCATACCATGCTAATGATAGTTCAAATCTGAAGAAACATATTCGTATACACACAGGGCAGGAGCCATTTTCATGCCCGCATTGTTTGTTTCGTTCAAATCGAAATGACAGGTTAAAGGCACACCTACGTATTCATTTCTGAACTGTGTTTGTTAAATTATTGTAACAAAGTAGTATATAAAAGATCTAAGTTACTAAGAGATCAAATGCAGTAATATTATATAGACATTGATGTTACATAAAGAACCCAAGAGTGATAATTACCTTTGTATTCAGTATCTTAATACAGCTTTCCTCAATAAATTTTCTTTTTCTTATAGAATCCTACACATTTCCTTCCTGGGCAGGTCTTTATTTAGACCTTTCCACATTCACTTCAAAATAGTTTGAGATAATCATAATTTACCTGTGATTCCTTTTTTTTTCTTTTTCTAAAATGAATGTTAATAAATTGCTTTAAGTTGAAAATAAAACTCAAGAGAACCAAACAATTTTATTAATTGCCTTTTTACCTATTTTAAAGCATATGTATGTAAAATGACATTCACTGTAATGTATGTTTAATGCCTAAATGTTTGTATGGATGGACAAGCATTCGCTGATGAGGGGGAAGCCAAAGAAACAAATTTTCTGGTTCTTTAATTTGTAAAAATATTTAAAAAAAAACTAAGGGTGCTAGAAAAAATTTAATTTACCAAATATATGAATCCATATACCAGCCTTCTTTTATATTTTTTACTTCCGTTTTTTTTTCTCCTTTTTAATTAGTACTTATGCAAGTATAATCACTGAGATAAACATAGATTATATAATTGTTATATATGAAAGGAATGTTAAACAATTGTACATACTAATATATATGTTTGTCAAGTGACTGTAAATAAAACATGGGAAATAAGGAGAATGAGAAAATACAAAATTAATATATCGCCAAATGTAAGACAAAACTGAATTTCAATATTGTAAGTAGCATACATATTTCTTGACCTTTCAAATGCTGGTGGAAATATCATAAAATATATAACATTTATGCATTCATATGTGCACACACACCACACCACACACACACACACACACACACACACACACACACACACACACACAACACACACACACACACACACACAAGCACACACACACACACAGCACACACACACACACAAGCACACACACACATAAACACGCACACACACAAACATGCACACACATAAACACACACACACATAAACACACACACACATAAACACACACACACATAAACAACACACACACACACACACACACACAACACACACACAACACACACACACACCACACACACACACACACACACGCACACACGCAACACGCACACACACACACACCACACACACACACACCACACACACACACACACACACACACACACACACACACACACACACACATATACACACACAAAAGCATCTGAGTGAATATAAAGTTTTGTAATTATTTAATCTAATCTGCCATTAGATTAATAACTGAAAGAGTAAACATTTTCAACAGATGTTCCTGAATATTGAGGCCAAAT